TTCCAGCTTTTCAATTTTCACCATTTTTTACAACTTCTCCACGTTACAAGGGGCACCTCTTAAAATCTCATTAAAAGTTTCGCTAACCCTTCACAGATTTTTTGCCACATTTGCCATTTTTGTCAAAATCGCCAGTCAGCAAGGCGCCCCTTTGGCCATCTAATTTGAGTATTTGCTAAACGGCATGGCAAATTCTCGCCAGGGGCCCGTTTCTCGAAAGTCCCGGTAACTTTTAGGGCCCGAAATCAAATATTCAAATCGAAATATAAAGTATAAGAGAGCGGGTCCTGGCAAGCAAACTACTCCATTTTGTTTCATTAACTGATAGTTTTATCACTTTAGATGCAAAACTATTGAAACCGCGATCTTTAATGTAAACGGAGACAGCTTACCGGGCCCGTTAATTATCGGGACTTTCGAGAAACGGGCCCCTGATTCGCAAAACTTTCGTCAACTTCGCCACTTTACGAGAGGCGCCTCTTGAACTCACTCAATTAAATTTTCGCCAACCTTCTAGCGATTTTTTGCCAGATTCGCCAGACACAAGTGAAAACTTGTGCAAAATGATTCTTATTACATGTAAATTACTAAATACGTTTTTAACATTTGGTCTTTGCAATTGATCTAAAATTTACAAAATTACATGTAATGTTATTTCTTGAAGTCTGACACCAACATGATAATGTTACTATTTACTTTTAAATGTTATGCAATTGTAACTGAATTATCTTAGCAGCTACAGTGATCCTAACATATAATTTCCTTTGCACAGACTTTGATTTGGATTTCACCTAACATTGTACGTCGAGAAGAAGAGAGGATACCGGAGATAGGAAGGAGGAAGTGCATTTTGGGTAAGAGGGATATTTCACTAAACCCACTATAATCCGTCCTAGATTATTACCTATTGCAGTAACCTTTAAATTACAAGAAAGAACAAGGCTAAAGGTGGCAAGAAGGAAGATAAGGCACTTCCCCCTGTCTTGCTTTTAACTCAAAACTAGTAAATCCAGTTAGATAAGATTGATTTTTCTGAAGAAATATCTTAGACAAAAATTAAAAACGAAAATAATATGTTAGAGCTTGTAGATTTCAAATTCCTCCTAGGGACATACCCCCAGACCTAACAGCGGCTTGCGTTTTGGCAATCGCAGATCTTGCCTCATCTACGCCAAAAGTCTGGCTAGGGCCCTGAAGAAACGTTTTGTGAAAATAATTGTTTGACTTGATGACTATTGTTGCACGCACTCTTCCAAGTAGGAAGGAAAAAATCACTGCCACATGACAATTAAATGTTGCCACCATTATACGAACTTGCAATATTGAAAAAAATGGAACTACAAGTGCTGCTGTGTCATTTGAAAAAAATTTTTGCTCCTAATTTTAAGATCATTTTACAGAAAGATTGCTGTGTCATTCATTCTATTTTATATTCATTCCAAAATGTATCGGCATTTGTAACTATTTCTAGTTATTTACTATAAAATTTAAACAGCAGCACCCTAGAAGTTTTCTTTGTTGTAACAGAACTTGACTCCAGTGTACTTGTCGCTGTACTGGTCTGACATGTTATGTAGGACGTGTGATAGAACACCAGGACCACAGAAGAAGACTCCAATTTCCTGCCTAGAGAAGATAAAAAGGAAAAGACTCATCATTATCGGTCGACTGATGAGCACTGGAATAAGATTAGTAAAAGATTAAAACTCGTTAAAAATAACATTAGCATGAAAACAGCTCATTGCCAATTAACTTATAACTATTTTGAATTTCTCCAGAATTACCAGGGGGAAAAAATCATTCTTGGACCCTCAGTACATGTGTACCTAATACAAGGCTGCGTCACGGATGCTCTACAATACATCTCTCGCTTAAGAAGAATAAAAAGAGGTGAAATAATACCCTGGGCACACCTGAAACCACACTTTCAAGAGGGACTTGGTTGCATCTAGCATGGGAGCTAAGAAGTGAGAGTCCACAGTTTATACAACCCAATCCTGCTAATTTTTGTTGATTAGTCAGTTACGTTAATAGCGCACTGTGCAATCTAGACGTCTTACTGAATAAAGGCAAGAAAAGGACACTGTACCAAAAAACCTACCACGAAAAAACGCGACCAAAACATACCAGGGAATCATCACACTAGCTGACGGACAAAACAAACACAAGGACTACAAGTATTTATTCAGATAAACGCATTTCAGGTCCAAAAAAAACTTGTCATATAAAACTAAAAATTTGTTATTAATATTAAGTTGTCATTTTGAGTCTCAAAAAATTGTCTAAAGCAAAAAAAATCCTGTCAGAACTCCTGAAACAGACTGCGATGGGTAGTAGTTAAGTTTTTCATCATGCAGATGATTTTACCACTTCTTCCACTACATCTATAGGAAATGTTAAGGGAAACGAACCAAAATTAATAGAGCGTTAACATATCAGAGTTTAAAACTTTCCACAGTATAATCTACCAGTTACGAAAAAAAAAAAAAAACTTTACTGTTAATGGATTAAAAAACACAAAAATTTTCAAAAGCTCTTGATTGTGTTTGGCCTGTCGGGCCATGAACTTACCCTGCCTGTTTGATTACTTCCAGTCGTAGTGTCATTTCGTGGTTCTGAATGACCGACCGTTAATGCCGTCCAGTGACGTCACTACTCCCCTAGGAACCGTTCTAATTATAAATCAATTTTCAACTGACAAAAGGGTTGATCGTCCAAGGGCTTATATGATGCAGAATTGCTTTACTCTTTTTGATTGTTATTTCATGATTAACGTTTAAACTGTCAACTGTATGCGGAACTCTGAGCGAATCTGTTGTAATTCAATAATCTCGATCGCAATCTCGCAATGAAATAAGCTTAAATACACACACGGAATACTTTAAAACACAACAATTTGTTTTAATTGAAATTGCCCCCTAACATCCAAACGTCTGTAAATTTTCGCAACTTTGTAGAGCTATATCTTCGTGAGTTTTTAACAAATCACTTTCAAACTTGTCAGTTTTAATAATTTTAAGGCGCTCTTTCCAGTGGTCTGGACGGATTTTCCCTGACTGTTCCATGTCAAAAGTGGAAAAAACATTGTTCAAAGGAAAAAATATGTGAATATTGTCTGTGCAGGATTTGCCGCTAAGCTAGATTGAAAAGTTCAACCTCGTCCCCAGGGCTTTTCCCTCAAAAAATGGGTTTTTGGAGGGAAAAGCCCTGGAGACGAGGTTGTGAAAAGTTTCTATCTGAGTGAAAGCCGTCATTCTGGTGGTCATGACACAGGTTGCGTTGCTGGGAATGCAAACATCACGTGGTACTTAGAAAACCTTCTTACCCGTCAGAAAAGGGAAAAAACATGGTTATTTTTTGGAACTTGGGCTTCATAAGTAACAAAGGCCTTCAGAAAGCGTCCAATTGTAAGAACGTCGGTCTATGGAAGGGAATTAACCCAGTTTCGGTGTCTATTTTTAACGCCTGAGGTGGTTTATAACGGTTTTTACAATCGTTTTCAAAACGTTGGTGTAAGTCAAAATCTTGGTACAACTTTATTTATCTTCACAGTATGAGTAACTACAAAACAGCGATTGCACGTCGGGAAAGCAAGCCGCAGCAACTTGAGATGAGCGGAAAACAAATAATTAGACAATGTTTAAAAACGCAAAAATTCCTCTACACTTGTGTGTCAAATTGCACTGTTGTTTTCCTAATGAGTTCACGGAATTCGATGAGGACCTGAGTTCATTTTAGAGCCATGATATTCAAAGTCACAGCACGTTTAGATGTGGACAGAACAAAGTCTCTAATTAGATACAACGATCGATTACTACCAACGTTCACTAGGAAAATTCTGCAGAGTTTTACATTTTTCTGCTACTAAATGGCAGCACAAGAAAGCCCCCACTGAAGCTGAACAAATAAAATCTTCATTCGAACAAAAGTAAGACTTCTATAAACAAACTCTTAAATGTGCAAGCGCAATGAACTATAACAAACTTTGTGTCATAACGCTTTCAGTTTTAATGGAATGGCTAGAAAACTTTGAGAAGTATAGCTACGATACCGGCCCCGGTTGCTCAAAAGATGGATAGCGCTATCCACTGGATCGAAATCACCATCCGTTTATCCAGTGGATAGCTTTATCCACCTTTGGAACAAGTGGGGCCAGGTCTCAGAGCCATTCGTTGTCGGAATTCCAAAAACAACTTCACAGATTTCTAGTTTCTAGTTTCCCACTTCTGCTCCAACGATTTCTCTAAAATTTATTTTGGTGATACCAGAAATATAAGTCCAAAATATCAGCAAAATTGTTCACTTGACGCGATTTTCTTTGAAAAGTATGGTCCACGGCTTAAGCGCTAATTCGTAAAAAAATAAACTTCGCCATAATTCAAGGCGTGACTGTAATTATAACGGAGCCACCTTACACTGCACGATAAAGTTGTCTCTCAACTACCGCTTATTCGTTGCAAGAACGTATTCAGTTTCAACCTTTATGCCCTAAGGGTGGTTAACATCGAATGTCTCCTTGCAATATTAAGACTTTATAAAATATATTGGCCACAAGAATTAAATACTTGCACGGGATAAATTTAACGGACACATATACGACTTATTGCCACTATACTTCTGTAGGAAATGTACAAGGGCAACGCATTAAGTGTTAAAATTTGATATTAGAATTTAAAGGGTCAAGTCCACTGTAAAAGTGTTTTGTGTTCTATTATAGCTCGTACTCAGACGGAATGTTCCAACGAACTTTATTCTTAAATGCACAACAATTTGCACACTCCCTTGATATCGAAACAAGCGTAAGAACTTAGGATCTTGAATTTATACCAGTAAACTGGCTCTCATAACTTTTATACTACATTTATAAACTTGATAGGGCTCGTCAGAAAACTTCTGCACACAGTGATGATCAGTGAAATTAACTTGTGATCGGGCGTTCTTCTTTTAGAAGTGCAAAAGCAGACTTTTGAGCACCCCCAAAGAGCACTGAACGATGAACCCTACCGAAAGTCTTTTACCATAAAATCTCTGCAACGATAGAAGTGGTCCCCCGCATCCATCCAGTGGTCAACTACTTCCTTAAGTTGATGCAAGGATCTTTGTACTCCGGCGTGATGTAAATCTTGTGGCGGGTTGAATACTCCTGAATTTAGCTTGAACACTCCTTTCATCACAGAGAAACCCTCAGCCATAATATTCCTTCCTGTACATTCTTCGCCAAAAGCACGTCTGTAAACAGCGCTATGAACAAGCCCTGGGCCTTGTTGTTGATATGGCTTTAGTTTCTTGGCGTTGGTATCCATGATGACTACATAACCGCTCTTACAGCGGGTGCCATTGGTGGTTTGCCACTCTGACTTGCCATCGCAGGAGTAAATGATAACACCAGCGTAGCAATAATCCATTCCTTGATACGCATCTGACTTGCAGGAGATGTGAATTGTCTCAACAGAGAAGAACGGAACATCTGTACATACTGCGTGTGTTGGGTTTGGGTTGCTTAACAGCATTAGGTCACAGTTTTCTGGTATTAAAAGGCAGCGTGTATAAGCTTTAGAGCCCATCCTTTTATTACGGACAACATCACCGCTCGACCGACGGTTGTAGGATGGCTCCGCGGTGCTGGGACGTTTGTCGAGTTTGCCCGTTACAGGGTTGAAATAAAGTTCCTCCTCCATTTTTCAAACTTAGAAATATCTCCTTACTTTCCAAATGTAATGATTAGAAAGAGGAATGAAAAACAACCACTTTTCCCCTGTCACAGAATACCTAAACCGCGTAATGTTAATCACTTTGTCAAGCATCCGTTTCTTCCAAGAAAAGCGGAATTTGACAAATGAAAAAATGTCAATTGAGCTTTCGCCCCACCTGACAGCCATCAAATGACATCACGGATGTTAATAAAAGCTACATTTCAAGGGAATTTTATAAGTTTCGCTTTCGATAGTCTGAATTCCATCGAACGGGTCTTCCGGCATTCGGAATAACGATTCAGTTGGTCCACAAAATGGCTGAAAACCAAAAAAAGCGAAACACTGACCGGACAGTACATGCCGACATGCCTCGAGACGGTTTCCACGCGAGCAATATTTCAACCCCAAGAAGTTTGCGCCGATTCTTAAGCGACCCAGATCTAACCAACTCAGGATCTCCTCAAGATCGTCCTTCGTTCTCTGTTGAGACAATTCACATCTCCTGCCAGTCAGATTCGTATGAAGGAACTGGTAATCGCTACGCTGGTGTCATCATTTACTCCTGCGACGGCAAACCAGAGTGGCAAACCGCTAATGGCACTCGCTGTAAGAGCGGATATCTGGTGATTATGGATACCGGAACTGAGAAAGTGAAAAAGTTTCAGCAACACAGCCCTGGCCAAGTTCATGGCGCTATTTACCGGAGCGCTTTTGGAGAAGAATGTACCACAAGGCAGGTCAACGCTGAAGGATTCTCGGTTATCAACGGAGAGTTCAAGAACAATTCTAGCGTGTTCAATCCAGCAAAAGATGGTTACCATGATGAAAAACGAACCATGCATCCAGTCTCAGCTCGTTGCATTGAGAAGGTAATCAAATCGTGGAAGAATGCAGGAAAAAGCTTTCGCAATTGTCAAAATTTTGCAGTCAAGGATTTGCTCAGTGATGAACAGGAAGTTAAGCCATCCTCCATTGACGGCACACTCAACAGACGCTGGAACTACCGCATGCGACTCTTTGGTCACGATGTGGATGATGCCTTTTGGCAACGGTTGACGAATCAACTTCTCATCAGTTTTTAATAGAGTACGAAGATTCCGCTAGGAAGTTGAAGGGACTTAGCCAAAAAAGAAAGTTGCAGGTAAGAGAGACTTAGTAGCTCTTGAAAAAAGCAAAATGTCGGACGAAGAAAGCGGAAATATTGATAGGGGAAAATCTAAAGCTACTTCAGCAGAGTTAATTATGAGAAAAATAAATAATTGGTCACAAGTGGTGTGCAGCTTGTAAGCTAAAGCAAATATTGTAAATGATAAATCAATGGCTGTTTTTCAGTTCGGTTTCTGGTATTACAGATTAGAGCTCCAAAGCATTGGGCGGCCCATATGTCTACACAATTTGCTCCGCGGAAGTAACCTTAAGTTGGACTGTATCCCCATCTGCTTTCTTTGTTCGCCATTTTCTTTTATTCATGGGCTCTTAAGCCTCGCTTAAATGCAACTATCGATTTCCTTCTGCATTCTGTGTGTTTCCTTGTTTCCATTTGTTCCTACTTTTCATTATGTTTTCACTTAAGACTTTTTTATTTGGTAATCCTCGTAGAAGGTTCTCTTTCTGTGTCCCTTGCTTCATTTATTTCTGCGCACTTTTACTCGAGGGTAAAAGTGCAGCACAAATTAAGTGACAATTAAAATGACATAAATATTTCTGAAATCTGAACTTTTAAGTTTTTTAAAGCGGCAAAAAAGCTAGACGATCAATAGTCCCTTATTTTAAAGCTACCGAAATACGCACGCGCGCGTGGCCTCTCTCTTCTTCCTTAGCGTAAAACCCTCCTCGCGGGTGTCGTTTTTCACGCGCGCGCACGCGAATTTTGCTTTGCACCAGGGCCCAGTTGTTCGAACGCCGGTTAGCGCTAACCCCGGGTTAATTTTGACCCGGGGTTCGTTTTCTTTTTATCAAAAGCACTCTCTCCGGATAATTTTCTCTGTTCTTTTTAGAGTATCCAGTCATCAAATTGTTGGCAAAGAGAATTTAACTGAATTTGGTTTTGAAGCTCTCATATCTGAGTTCAAATTTCCCACTAACCCTGGATTACCTTGACCTAGCTTCGAACAACCCGGCCCAGTATCCCGATACTATCTCTGAGGAAAATGAGGGACTACAGTCTTCTCAAGGTAATTAAGGCATGGGTCCCCAAGTGTTAAGTCAAAAAGTAGGGGGGTGGTCTATCTTTCGATACATTAGCAGTGGCAAGCTGAAAACTTGTCAGACACATAAACGGCTAGTTTTTATCTATTTGGTATGCTCCAATTATGCAAATAAGGTCACGTGACACGCCACGCCCAAAAAACCCTTGAACGTAAATGGGCACACTTTTTCTTGTTTCCTTCATTTTTCTACTAGTTTCATAATTATAAGGCCGTTAAGTATGTCATTTCTGCGCTTGGCAATGTCAAGAGTTTTCAAAGGAAAGGCATGTTAAAATGATACATTTGTATTGGGAGACTGGGTACTAGTCGAAAAACCCGTTTATTTTCAAAATAGACGAGATATTTGAAAGTTGCCAAGCACAGTTTTTTAGCGGCTTATATTTTGTATCTTCTCAGGGTAGTAAAGTAAGATAACTCTTGCTAAAAAGTGTGCCCATTTTTTCTTAAAGATATTTTGAAACTTTGAGGAGCGGTAAGGTCACGTGACCTAATTTGCATAATTTTGGTGTATTTTAAAGCGTCAATTTTAGTGCTGTGTAATATTTTTTGGAATTTTCTGCTTCATGATAAACCATTCATATTATAGACCACCCCCCTCATTTTTACAGGAAAATGGTTGTTGACCCATGCCTTAATTTACCTGAGTTCTCCTTAAGGACATCTCTCTGTTACGGGCAGTTTCCTATTTCCCGACAAAATTTGGCCCCAGAGAGCAACGTCATACATAACGGTGATCAGGTGATGATGGTCTGTGAATGAGTTTGTGGTTACACAAACATTATTCACTTGCACATATGCTTCTGCTTGCCTTTTCACCCGGAGTTTTGAAAATTAAAATGAAATACCATAAAAATTAAGTGACCAAAGATAAGAAAAAGGAAACTGTTTGTGTATGTATAAACGAAGATGTAGCAAAATGTAGTAAAAGTACGAAAACGGATAGAAAGTGTTTCACTAACACATTTAAATCACTTAGAACACAAGTGTGCGCCTGCGTTTAGTTATCGAACTGTTATGACTATCAGTGGAGCCATTCAAGGTTCCATCGTGGTGACTTCTATAAAACGGACATCTTTCTAAAATGGACACGCTGTTCTTTCCCTTCGGTGTCCGTAATACAGAGGTTCAACAGAGTTTGTAGTCTACAGTAAAGCTCAACCGTGTAGAGGAGAACTGTCTTTCCCACGTTGTAGGAAGTTGACTCATTTAGTAGGGTTACCCTCTTTGCTTAGATTTTGCTGATCGTACATTTAGCTTTGTGAGTAACCTACTTCTGTTTATTGCTAGATTAGAGTCACTTTTTGTACCGAGAATCAGATTTGCATAGAGAGTGGCTTCTTTCTTCGCACGGTACATTTGTCCGCTGCACATTTAAAAAAGTTTTAGATTAGCAAAAATACAATCTAACTTTACAGGAGTAATAAAAAGTTTTGCTGAGTCACACTGTACCAGCTCATCAATTTGCTGATGAATGGTGTAAAAAAGGCCTGCGTGCGTAGAGGGCCGATGTCGATTTTGCGACCCGTGATTTCGTTTTGCCAAAAGATTCGTCAAAACAGGAGCGAAATTGGTCCGGGGAAATAGAGTCATTCCCGGCTTTTAAGCTGAAAGTAGTGGTAACTCAGGTTATATGTAAAATAGTAAGCAAATCGTGTTAATAAAGTGCTGTAACGTGCGCGCTTCATATATGTAAAGAAGTGTGCATACAGTGGCAAGTAAATACCGAAATTTTGAAACCAACAAGTTTGACTAAATTTTTTAGAGTTTTTGCAAGCCATAACGGACACTTTTGCTATTTGGATGACCGACAAAACTGCTAACTGGTACAATGTACAAACTCTAGCGTTAAACTAGGATCTGTTAGTGTATTCTGTAAATTTTTTTAACTGCTGTTTGAAACCGTCAAGGTAAATACTTGTAAAACAAAGTAAGCATGTTCAAGCTTTTTATAATGGCCGATTAAATGTCACTTTTTTGGGTACCAAGTCCAATATTATTCTTTAAACTGCATTTAGCTCGGCAAATTGGTTAACTGCTGTTGATGTAATTAAACAAAGATACTCAGCTGGAATACTCAAGTTATAAAAAGAAGAGAGAGAGAGAGAGAGAGAGAGAGAGAGAGAGAGAGAGAGAGAGAGAGAGAGAGAGAGAGAGAGAGAGAGAGAGAGAGAGAGAGAGAAAACGATTAAATAAATAAAGAGCGATTTGGAGGTAGCACATCCACATACTGGTCGATTCCTGGTTGAATTGGAATTTGGAAATGTTGGTTTTGAGGAGAGGGGAAAACCGGAGTGCCTGGAGAAAAACCTCTCGGAGCAAAGGAGAGAACCAACAACAAAACTCAACCCACATATGGTGTCGACGCCGGGATTCGAACCCGGGCCACATTGGTGGGAGGCGAGTGCTCTCACCTCTGTGCCACCCTTGCTCCCAAAAGAGAAAAAAAGACTGCATGCCGAGTGAAGGTAACCAACTTAAGCGAACAGTCGTTGCATCAAAAATATTCAGGAACAACAAGGGTTTATAGTCTGTCCTGTTAGAAATTTTTTGTACCTACGTTGATTAAACCAACTGATCTCGAGTGAAATTCTCAATTAGTACTATACTCGCGAATGTGACCAACACTGTGATTGATATACAAAAACAAAACAAAAACGGCAAATCTTCAACCCATGAATGAGTTATGTGGACTTTCATGTCACCCACCCTTTGTGGTTTTTGGCAATTCCCTTAAAGATGTCATCCCACTTTGCTCTGCCATATTTTGTCTCGGCATCCAACCGGGTGATGTTGTCTTATCTTCTCTGTGAAAAACCATATCTCAGTCGGGAACAACAGCGATTTGATCTGCTTTCATAAGGATTTTGCAAATTACTTTTTGGGGGGTATTAAACGGGTAAATGGGGTTCAAGGACTTAAAAATATTACAGAAGCTGCATCTCTTCTCAGTGCTAAAAACAGAATTCTAAAAGAGTTCTTGCAACGATTTATTCCCTCTCCTCCCTCTACCCCATTATAGTCTATTCTTAGGCCCGTTTCAAACGTCGTGCTACTGCCTTGCCGAACTAAATTGATCAAATTACATTCGACTTAAGCACGACAGTAGTGCGACGTTTGAAACCAAGTCGTGTTACTGCCGCACGGCAACCTTTGCCGTGCTACACGGAAGTGGCTCGACTTGGTTTTAAATGTCGCGCTACTGCCGTGCATTCATAAAATATAAATACATTAGAATATATTTACAGGTTTGCTAAACCGTTTTTTTATTTTTGTGTTTGTTTTCGGCAACAGCCTTTCCATTCGACTGAATTAAATTTGACGTTTGAAACCAAGTCGTGCTAGTGTCGTGCTGCAGTCGAGCTACAGTCGTGTCAGCTTAGCACGGCAGTAGCACGACGTTTGAAACAGGCCTAATCACTTTCTGTTTATTAATCTACCTTAAAATCGTCCAATTTAACTCCCTATCTACTAGAATTTTCTTCCCACCAAAACCCGAAAATGTGTGACCCCATTCTAGCAACTTTATTAAAAATGCAACCCCATTATCGTTAATCCAGTCGTGAAACCCATTAGCCTATTACTAAGGAAGTACCCGCCCTTTCCTTCCTGCCCAGGGTGCAAAGAAAATCATTTTTACAGCTTGCCATTCTGGCAAGCTGAAGTTAGCGCTTACTAGCCCAGACGTCATTTCAACTAGCCCCGAAAGCTTTTTGACGAGCGGAATTGATTTTACAGTTCTTCTGTTATTCAAATCCCTCAAAAAACATCACTTGCCCGTCGGTCAAGTTAAAAACAGAATGCACCAGCCCGATAGCAAAACCACTAGCCCCAGGCTATTGGACATTACGTTCTTTGCACGCTGCTCCCCCAAACGGGAAAATCTCTTCAACTATTATCGCCCCTGAGACAAACGTAAGGGCTTACTACAGTCCTGTCTGTCAGCAAGTGATTGCTAATCTCTAATATTTACCAAGAGCAGACCGCTCTCTCTGAAAAGGAAGCCCTGTAGTGTCAAGGTGTAACCTAAACCTAACTAAAATATGTTCATATTTCACTTCTCTAAGTAGACAAGTCTTAGACTAGCCACATACTGCAACATCAAATGCACTGAAAATTAAAAAGATCTGTTTCAGCCCCAAAGTGCCAATTTAGCCTTGCAGGCCAAAGTCTGATTCAGCCCCTTCTGGAGCCATTTGCACTCAGTTCAACCCCCGAAACAGCGGTCTATCAAAAGCCCATTCCAGCACACGCTAAGACTCAGCCCTGGGTTATTGAACTATATCGCCTCTGTCAAATCAAATTAGACCCAGAAAACAGGACTGGATTTTACTCACGAAACGGCTCTATTTTTACGGCCAAAAAAGATCTTTTTGATTTACAGAGTGGACTGACACACTGCAAGGAATGTCTTACCAGTTTGTTATCCCATCCTGTGAGATAAATGTTGTATTCCACGAAGTGAAGTATTTCCAGTTCAGCCATCTGAAATGGGTCATGAAAGGTAAGTATCTTCTTGCGTGAAGCTTTAAGTAAATTAAATGAAACCAAACAGTGCACATTCTTTTCACCCGCGGCGGTGCAAGTATTCATTCAAGTGTTAGGGGCCCCATTTGGAGCAAAAAAACAACTTCCTCATTCATACTTCTCTTGTTTACGCTCTCACGCCAAACCGTTTGCCCTTTATAGCTTACTTCACAAGCTAATTTCCGGCGGCTAAATTGTTTTATTTTTTTTTGTAAACGGCCGAAATATTTATCTTGTGATTCATTTTGGGAAGGTGGTGGTTTATCGGCCATCCATTAGAGATATAGTAAAACCTGTATCACGCTTACGCTCAAGGGACCTTCGTTATTGTCCGCCTACATATGTAATAGAGCTGTTCACCAAATCATTTTACAGAAACTATAGGGAAAAATTGAAACCATGTGAGCTATTTTTCTACCAAATATGGAGTCCGCTTAATACCGGTTTCACTGTGGACGAATTTTAACACCGTCAAGTGAGCTTCAGAAGGCAAGAAAGGAGAGGAGAAGCCAGAGAAATACATTCTCAAAAATGTGAGTGGGGAAAGAACTATTCAAGATGGAATCGAGTTCTTGGGCTGAGGCCTTCATTGCTGCTATAAATTTCTATAAATAAGAGGAATTCAGCTTTTACATGCAATTCTTGAAAATTAGAGTAAACTTTCTCAAAGCAACCTAGTCCCCAGGGCTTTTCCCTAAAAAAATGGGTGGGCGCCCCGCCCCACCCAAACCGCTGGGGACGAGGTTAGTTGTTCTCAATGCGGACACCTTAATTTTAAAGCTAAACGAAGAAAACCTCGTCTAAACGGATATCCCGAGCTGGTCCCTACCATTGTGGCTATATAGTCCTTTACAATGACTCTCTTAAAGGTGGACACATTTCTATCGTGGGTACTGAATGCCGGTTCTACTGCGATTGCTGTTATTGTGCAGATAGTAATTGAAAAAAGGTCAATATAAACTATTGGCCAAAAAGCCTACCAAACAGACTTCAAGATTGACGCAAATGGAGTCACCCCAATTCAAGCACCGATGCACATAATAACCTCATATTTGAACACATCATGACCAATTACAGACCCCATCCTGGTCACTTTAGGCTGATGTAATTTACTTAGCCACTTCCGCTTTGTACATCTACCTTATAAAGCCTTTTAACTACCAGGTCCCGGTTGTTCAAACGTTGGATAGCGCTATCCAGTGGATAAATATCTACCCACTGGATAGTGTAATCGGTTTTCCTAATACTTATCCGCTGGATAGTGATTTATCCGATGGATAGCGCTATCCAACGTTTGAACAACCGGGGCAGTAGGTCAGTCATACTAAAATGAATTCTTGTTAAAAAATTTGTAGATACAAAAACTTTCTTAACCCCAAAATCCCGAACAAGCCTATTCTAGTAACTCTTTTGAAAATGAAACCCCATTACCGTCAACCTAGTCGTGAAAACGCCATCCCATTCAGCAGCATATCCCCATTAACCTATTACTAGGAGGAACCCTCCCTGGGTCTATGGAGGGTAAGCCGTAGTTTCATTGTTCCATTGATTAGCCATCCCCTGAGTATGCAAGCTTCAGCACAGCTTCAATTGTATCAGTACTCCAGTACCCCACTCAATCTAGTTGACCCTGTTGATGGGCTTTCAGATTATTATACACTTGTACACAAGACGAGTTTACTTTCGGAGCAATTGCGCACAATTTTTGTACCCTGTGAAAGAGAGGACTGGCTTAGGAAAGTGTACGAGACTAAATTGTTGACAAGGTCTTAGTAAGGTTAAATCTTTTATTTATTTTAACAACGAACTGAACACACCAATACCAACAACAATTTTATTCATACTTGATTCTATAAAAAAAAACTTACAGAGTCATAGTAGTGCTAGTGAAATCTACGAATAAAAAACAGTATATAGCTATTGGAAAAAATTGGATTCTGACTTTGGGCTTTGCCTGTGGCCACACTTGTGTAGTGTGTAGTGAATTGCTGCCCATCAGTAAGTAGGAACACTGGTTAAATAAACTAAAATAATGTAGACTACAAAATTATACTGATAACAAAGGCACATTAAAATGTTGTGGCCTTAAATCAGTTATTGTATTCTCTTGTTAAAACATTTGACTGTAAAGAAAACTTGTGCCTAAATTTCTTAAATAACCTTTCACTATTGGCCCTTGCCATTAAAATAAAATTTAACAAATTGCACGACTATAATATTTCTTGATGTCTGACATCACTATCTTTTAAATTGTTATAATTAATTCTAACTGTATAAGCGATACTAC